CTCCCCAAAACCCCAAAACCCCAAAACCCCTAGATAATGTTTTAAATTGCATCAAAAAATATAAGACAAATGGCAACTTTTGGGAAGAGATTTTCCAGCACACTCTCAAGAGTAAGACTTTCATATAAACACTAAAAGAAGTCTTTATACTTCAAAATAATGCAGATGCCATTGCAATGTTCAAAGCTATCTTGGCATCCCCTTAATTTCAAGGAATGTTAGCATTCTTTCAATTTGGAACCGTCTAGTTTTGTCACTTACTCACACAAAAATTGTAGAAAAGCAGAAATAACTCTAAAATGCTTAACTGAACTCAAGACCAATGTGAAAAGTGAACTCAAGCGCTTAGACAGATTATTTCCTGAAACAACTGATTTTCATCCCTAGGGAAAAACTTAGTGAAGATTCTAATGACTCAGCTGAGTAATGTCTTACTATTTCACCTAAAATATTTCCTATGTATTTTCTAACTTTCTTCTATCTTACAGGCACTAGTAATACTCTCTATAACAGCCTTAGTCCTATAAGCTAGATTGTTTATATTAAATCTGTCTCTAAAGCTGCAAGGCTTGAACTTAATTTATCAAAACCGCCTGATTCTTACAGAGGGGCTATTAAATTTAGTGAAAATGCGTTCTAAATGCGCTGTAGACTAAACTCTAATAATTTTTTAGAAAATCTAGACTCAAGCAACCCCTGAAATTCATTGACACTAGAAAGTAGCTACAACCACGGTCATGTAAGCCAATACGACCTGGACCAAACGAGAGATATGGGCCAGAACAAGACGACGCATAATCTGCCTAGTAATGGTTTTTCTGCTTATAAACTTAACATTCCGATGGCTCAGAAGTATGAGACTCCGAAGGCACTTCCTAAACCTCTTGGACATTCAGTAGTCGTTGATGCTGATGGATCCTTTATATCAAATGATGACCTTAGTGAGAAGAAATCTAACCTTTCAAGGGTTAAGAGCCTGAGACCAGGCCCTCACATAATTCAGAAGATGAAGAAGAACTCGAGCTGAGTAAAGAGTAGGAGTAAATTTAAGGTGATCTCTAATGTGCTTAAGAGAAACAGACGGTAAGCTTTCTTGCTTTTTATGAAATTCAGATTTTGTATGAAATGGTCCCTCGTTTTCATCATATTTTTCAAATTGATTTGACTATTAATATAGGTCCTCGATGTCGAAGAAGCAAATTATAAAGAAATCAATAGGTTTATTGAAGCAAGGCTTATTGAAAAAATTAACAGCTGATCTCAATAGCATTGGAGGTCATAAAAAAAGTTTGCTAATCTTAGAACCCAAGCCTAAGAGGAAATCAGCTCAAGTAAAAAATTCCAAAATTAAAGCCAAGTCTCCAAACCAACTTCAGCTTCCCCAAAATGACGTAAATATTATTGATAATAATTTAGGAGCAAAATAGCATGAATGGCTCTTTCAGACTAAGCGATGGTCTTAGGAGCATAACAAGCAAAGATTCTAGCTGGCTATCAAGAAAATCTTAAAATAAAATCAATCTCTAATTATTCACTAATTCTTATTCCCCCTAAATTCTCTTCCTAGGCTGATTATAATCCCAAAATAGTTGGTTTACTGGCATAAAAATTCTTCTCTATATTATATCTCCAATTTCAACATTAAAATCGTAAGCCGGGGTTTTGGGGTTTTGGGGTTTTGGGG